AATTCAGTTCATCCAGCGGTTGATACGTATTCACTCTGTGCAGAACTTGTGGGGGCTCATCAGGGCGCTGGAGATGAGAGGGACATGGGCTCCAACCTCATGAGGTCTGAGGACCCTCAAAAGAGTAGGAATGCAGACCTAAAGACAATTTAGACAGCGACAAAATGACACCAGCTGTTATTGACGCGTAAGGCCCTGGGCTGGGGTCCCTGGTGAGAAGAGGATTCTGGCCTTTGGGACATTCAAGTCCCATCCAGTTACCATTTCACAAGCGTGTGTTTGAACATCCCATTTTAGACACGTTAAACTTAAGACTGATGTGACACATTTAAGTGAAGACATTCAAGTGTGGAGCTCAGAATCTGGACTAGAAATATAAAAGGGGGAGAAAAGAACACCTGTATGACAGGGAGGGGCTGGGGGGCCGTAAAGGGGAAGGAGACAGCCAAGGAGATGTTGCATTACTTTAACGAGTGATGCCATATTAACAGAAATGTACTTTCAGAGATGTGAAACAGAGCAGGTCCTTCTATAGTGATGATGATGGGATGCAGCACGAAGACCACCTCTGCCAGCTCACCAGGGAGAGGAGCTTTCTGCAGCCTAAGGTGGGCACAAGGATGACGACCGTCCACCCAGCCCATGAGGACTGCCTAATGCTGTGCTCTGCACTTCACACACGTTATTGTTATTGCATTCAGTCCTCACTACACCCTTCCGTGCAAGAACTAACATGGGGTGCGAAGAAGTTGGGTTACTTGCCCAGGTCCAGTGGCCAGCAGGAAGCTAGTCAGGATTCCAGCCCATGCCTCTTGCAGCCCAGGCCCATGAGCACAGTTTCAGAACACACAGCCTGTGGTATGTCTGAATTCATAGGGCAGGGTCTATACAGGGTCTGTGAGGAAATCTCCTACCTAACAGAGTCCAGAAAGAGCAAATTATCTGAACAGGTTAAGCCCAGTACCATGTCGATGTGCTTCAGTTGTGTTGGGTATTAAGCTGGTCCGTTATCAAACCTGTTTCCCCTCTCCTAATTTCAGTGATACTTGTCTCTATCTCAGGTCTATTTTGCTCCCACCATTCCTAGGTTCTCTTCTATTCAGGTTTCAAGTCTTCTTTCCCCAACAACTAATGATACATTACATGACCCTCTTGCCCTACTCTCTGCTTCTCTCTGCTTTTTCTTTGCCTTACCTTATCCTTTCTAAATCTAACCAGCAAATGGCAATTTCCCTCATTTTTCAAGTTTACCATCTTGATGTTGCAGTTTTCTTTTTCTAGTACTTCCCATAGTTCTCTAGTACTCTACGAAGCAAATTCCTGGTGGTGAGATTGAAACTCATGTGTAAATCTAATCGTAGTGGTCTTTGTTAACAAGCAGCTACTATGGACACTGAGGACAAGGAAACACTGCCCTGTTATGTGATGGTCAAATCAGCATCACCACTGTCATCTAATTTCATTTCCAATTAATTTCCAATTTTTCATGTACACCCTCCCAATAAAAGAAACCGAGTATTTTGTTCTATACTATCAACTCTATCATTCTCTTCCTCTCTGTCTGGAGTGGGATGGGGAGAGCGCCTGCTGTAGGAAACCCTCCTAGATGGGCAAAGGGGCTGTCCCAGACTGCTGTCCTCTTCCCTGTGTGGTGTGTGTGTATGTGTGGCTACCAAGGCAGGCATTTTGAGACTCTCTATTGGCCCCATCTCTCATTCACATCCTCTCCCCTTCTCCCAACAAAAGCCATACATCCTCTCACCAATTTCTTGACTTACTTTTGAAATCATCTGTCTGGGGTGTCTATCTCCATATAGAATGATGTGAACACGTGATTTTCATATGTGTTTATCAATGTTTGGATCAGTTTGTGTTTCCTGTGGGTATAGTCCTATGTGTTTGTGCTTGTGGAATATACATATACTGACACAGGGACCTATGTGGGCCTAGTTTCAAATGACCTGAAAGGAATATAATGGTAATTGAACATTTGCACATAAATACACCATACCACATGATAACTAGGGGGAATGTATGTGGGATTACCATCAGGATTTTATTTCACATAGGTATAGAAGGGAGGTGATTTGCACTGTACTAACAACGAACTAGATTATTTATGGGGTCACTGTCAGTGATCTCCTTACTAGTCATATTATGTAAATATTTCTGTCTGTGGTCTGACTCGCATATGGTACTGTAATCTCTAAGTTGATAATAGAGTGCTGAGTCATGCTCTCTATAGGTAATGTGAAAAGAATCGCATAGTTGAAAATATGCTAAAGGGTTTAAAGAAAGCTGTTACAAAACTTCCTAAAAATCTAGTTCAAAGTAACAAGTACAATGTTGTGTTCAGTTTTAAACTCTGATTCAGTTATCTACTTTTAACCCATTGTCTGTCTTATTCCTTTTACAATAAGAAACCCAAAGTTTTTATTTTACTGAAGTATATGGGTTAATCTTTTGTTTTCTGTCATATTCTGTGTACCATGACAAAATCGTTCAAAATACTACCTCTGTTACATGAGAATGTTTGTTCTATAAGGAGAAGTCTAGGACAACATTTGGGGAATAAGAAACCAAACCTATAAAGGATTTATTTATCATCTCTTCCCTTCAGTAGAAATTTACATTCTCCTGATTTTGCTTAGTGGTGTGCATTAAGAACGTTGAATTGGGAACACCACTCAAAGAGGGCATTCATGCAGATTCTGGCTCACAGTTGATCATCTGAGTAAATGATCTCACCTAAAGAGGCTCGGGGAAGCACTTCCTGGAGTTGTCATACACCCAATCCACAAGAACAGAATCGGACAAGACCCATCACCTTCGCTAAAACGCCGGGCTGGTGACGGAGGAGCAGGCCAGCTGGGCTTTGGCAGTGACGCCAAGAGGTGCAGGAAGCGCGCGCTGGTAGCGCTGCGGTAGAAGCTCCTGCTGCCGCGCCCCCTCCCAACGCGGAGAGTCCCTGATTGGGTCCGCCAGGATCTGCCCGCTCCAGCCCCAGCCGGCTGCCCGCCGGGGAAGCGAGCCCATCCATCGCTGGCTGCCCAGTCCTCACCCAAGATTTAAAGCGGGCAAATTTTGTTCTCAAGACCAATGACTTTCGCGCCGTGCCGAGAGGAGAGCAGACGTCCGATTTGGGAGTTTAAGGAGCTGGGCTTGGACCTGGTGAGTTTTACTTTATAAGCTTTCTTTGAAATTAAACTGGGCTTGAAGGTAAAATCATTTGGGGGCGGAGTGATTCCCCTCCCCTTGCATTTTACAAACTAACCGCTGTAGGGAAGCTTTAGTTTGTAGTGAATTAGAGTTTCCTTCCTTTATCATTTAGGACCCCAGAAGCTCAAGGCGTTAAGTGTTGTGACAAGAGCTCTTTTAACAAGACTAGTCTGTTCTTAGAACTCTTGCTCTAAAATAGAAAATAAAATGAGGGAACCGAAATTCAGTCAAAAACTTACCTCCCATAGATAACTGTCGCTCGTTCTAAACGAATGGGTTGTTAGTCTAAGAAATTCTACCTCGTAATGAAAAGTGTATTCAGACCAGTTGTTTCGAAAGTAATTAATATGTGATCGACCATACGATTAAAAAAAAAAATTGCTCCACAGCCAGCTGACCTCGTCCAAACGGGGGCTGAGCCTCCATCCCCCAGCCCCCGGGGGGTGGAAATGTTGTCTTCCCTTCCGGGGAAGGGGAAGCTGCAGCACGCTTGAGGGGATAAACAGCAGCTCCCGGCACGGGCTGTCCTTTGTGCCGGGGACGGGAGACCCGCTCCGGGTCCGCGGTGAGGGCTAGGGGCCGCCCAGCCTCCGCCCCGCCCCTACCGGGCCAGCAGCCCCGCCGCGCCTCCTCGCCCGAGAAGCTCTCGGACTCCGGAAAGGAGAGTCGAAAGTCTCTTCTGCTTGCTCTGGACCAGTCGCGGTCTCCGTGGGGCGAAGAGGGGAAGGGAGTCGCTAGGAGGTGAGGACACTCTCGTTCGCGCGGGGCGGGGGCTCCTGGACTTCAGGTCGGAATGCGCGCTGGGGCAGGGGCGGGAGGCGGGAGCAGACCCCCCGGGCGGCGGCTGGCTGCCCTGGCCCGGAGCGCGCGGCCCGGCGTCGGGAAGCCGGGGCGACGGTACCCGTTGCGGGCGGGGGCCGCGGGCGGCGAGAGCGCGGCGGGGAAGCAGGGCGCATTCCCTCCCGGAGCGCCTTTGTTCGCCCCTGCCTGGGGGCGGGCGTCCGACCACCGAGACCCCAGGCCGAGCCGCCGCGCAACTGCTGCAGGTAGGCTGGCGGGGGCGCGGGGGGCCGGAGCTCCGGTGGGGGTTAAGTTTCCTTGGGCCGGACGGGTCCCCGTCACCAGGGAGCTCCAGCAAAGCGGCCGCCACGCCGCGCCGCGCCGCGGAAACCGGCCCGAGCGCGGGAGACCGGAGGCGAGCGCCGCGCCCTGCGGGCCTGGGTTTCCGGCTGGAGTCCCGCAACCTTGCTGCCACCCCTGTGCTGCGGGGTCGAATTCGGGTAGAAAGCTTGCACGGGGTGGAAATCATGAACCGCCAGATTGGGGAAGCTTTCGGTAAATTACTGGATGGAGAAATGGAGGCGAGGAAGTGGGCTGGCAGGGGAAACTGGGGAAGAAGACCTCCTCCTAGGGCGAAAGTCTCTGCCTCTTTGACTATGCCGAATTTTATTTTGCATCTCGAAGTGACAGTCGTTTGCTTACTCACATATCGTATAGGTGAACGTAGGAACTTTTCATCCGACTGACTACACACCCTATATTTTTTTCTTTTTATGGTCTACATGTTAAAGGGACACCTATGTTGAAACCGCACAGTGGTGGGCGGTGGCTTGTAGTTGATATTTAGGGTAATTCTCTGATGGAAATACATCCATTAAGGTTGGATTTGTTCCTCTGTGCCTTTATTTTGGGAAACTTTGCCTGGTCTCTATGGGGGAAGGGAGAGGGATGTGCGAGAAGCTGAGACTGACCCAGAAAAGGATGATCGAAGGTAGTTGAATTAAGTAGTGGCACTGTAAAGACCCAATCCTGAACTTTCTGAAAGGGGGATTGGTGATCAGCAGCCGAGGTTTTAACTTTCTCAAAAGAAACTTATGGTAGATTTTATATCTTGTTGGGGGGGGGGGGCGCTATTTTTATGGGTCAACTATTTAAAGCAAGATAAACTCAAAACCTGAAATATTTCCATTTTATATTTAAAATGACACTTCTCTCTCCTGCTCCTTCCCTCTCTCTCCCTTCTCCCCTTTCCCACAGGAACTCTCCGTATTTATTAACACCCTCTGAGGATGAGGCTGACTTAGTCTAACCCTTGGGAGCCCCCCAGGGGACTCACATTGACACCTTAAGATGGGGATGAGTGTTATGACAGAGAAAGTTCAAGCTGAATCCCAGAGAAGCTATTAAGAAGATGAGAACTGAGGGATAATTAGGTGGCATAAATGATATTGTACCTAAATACCCTCCCCCACAACCCTGAAAAGGTGGAGAATTTTCAAAATAAAGTGTAGGTTCTAGCAAGTAAAAATGTCACATTATATTTCACTAAATTGGAGATCAAATTTCCCTTTTATAAAAGACTGATTCAAATGATGAGAATGTAGGAAAAGGAATAACTTTCTAATTCTCAAATATAGAACAGCTTGAATAATATAACTCACGGGTTTTGAAATGGGTCATCTTTTAAAATGGGTCACTTGGCTAAAATCATTGCACTTAGTGACTTTCAAATTGTAAAAGTAGAATTCTTTCTGAGGACCAACTGCACTAGAATCCATATAACAGAACAGGATGTGGTAGTGATAGAAAGAAACTAGGAGAAACTCAGAAGGAAATGGTCTCTTATTAAAGTAACAATGTATCCTATCTTTGGAATTTTGTATATGCTCAATTGAATAGATCTAAGCTTTGCATCTGATGTCACATAACACATTTTTTTGGGGGGGGGGGAATATTTCCATAGCCATTATATTATTCCATTGTTAGAATAATCTTGTGATGAGATGCATATATTGTATCGACATTCTAGAAATTGAGGCATAGCAAATTATTAGAAGAGCTCTGCCATTTGACATAGAATCATAAAGCTAGCAAAGATTTAGCAACAGTGTAAATCTAGGCTATTTTTCTTATGGTATGCATATATATGAGATAATAAGAATCTTCATGTTTAAAGAAAGTTGATCAAGTGAGATGTAAACTTCCAATAAACAAAAGTGATTTTTTTTTACATTTTAATGCTAAAAATTAAGAAGAGGACTTTGATCTGTAACTTATTTTTAAGATTTATCTTCCATAGTGAAGGCTTTAACACTAGAAGCCAGTTTTCTACAGAAGGAAATCTTTTACCAAATTTGCAGGTAATAAACTCCCAAAAGTTCAAGTTCGAAATACTATTACATAGCTTAAGATCTACTTAAGGGTTTCATATTTTATCTCTTTTCTTCCTCTCCTCCAACACTTTCTATAACTTTCTGGTGGTTCGCTAGACAAAGTAAGTTAAAAGATTGACTCAAGTTTCCTTCTCCATAATTTACAGGGCCTTAAAATCTTTGGCTTTGTCATTATTATTGAAATGTATTTTTAAGTGCTTATGGGAATCATAATTGTTCTTTCCTGTCAAGGACAATGGTAGATGTGTTCAGTCATTTAGTAGTGATACTTCTGTCTTCAGTCTCGACAGTATTTAGGATGTGTTAATTGGCCCATAGCAATCAGATCAGTATTTTTAAAAACTCGTATCTAACGAATATTCTTTTGAGAAGAATATTGAGGGTATATCTCATCATTTCGAAAGGAAAATAATCCCGGAAGAATATCAGCCATCTGCTATCTAAACCATCATAGTAAAGATGCACAATTTCCAGAGAAAGGAAATTAGCGTATATTAAACAACTGATCCGGACCACACTTTGTCAATAAATTATCTCAAATGATCCTCAGAAAACACTGTGGTATGTGGTTTAGAGAACAGACAAGCACCAGAATATAAATCTACTTGTATTCACATTCTAAAACTCTTGGTTTTTCTACTCTCTTGCCTCTATCAGATCAATTCCAAGTTGCACTGGAACATTCACTGACTGATAAGGGACCTACACTGGAAATATCTCTGAAGCCTTCTCAGCACCTGTGGCCTACTACATAGTATGTGAGAAATTAATATTTGTTGAATTAATTAAATGTAGGCATTATCTACTCACACGACTGCCCATAATGCATGGAACAGGGTGGTGCTTAATAAATGGTAGTTATCTTAAAATAAATGTTAATCACCTGAGACAAAAATGTTTTATACCTCTTATGTTTTACACCAGTATTTACTTTTTGTACTCTGTAAACCCTCAATCAAATGTTGTTTCCAAATATAATACCCAGAACAGGACATATGAACTGCCATTGGACAATAGGCTTATATGTGTAGCTTATGTAATAGGTTTATACTGGGTTATATTGTCAATTTATTCTTAAATCACTATTTTTCATATCATAATTTGATCTCAGCTTTGTATATTCTTCTCCTTTCATTTCATCCAATACTTATTCATCCAATTCTTGCTTAAAACATCCCCCTGAGCCCTATACTTCTTTCTTCTTCTTCCCTCCTTCTCACCTCTTTTTTTAAACCCCTGCTGCCATTTTGGATCTCCTCCCTTAAACCATCCACTCTTCTCTGTGAAGGAAAGACTTGATGCACCCAAAGGACACAGACCCACGAGATCACTTTTGCCCATTGTCTAGTGCTACTGGGATCAAGAAAAGAAAGGAGGGAAAATGGAAATGGAGGGTTAGGAAAAGGGTTATATTACAAAAAAAAAATGAGAACAAGTTCTGACAAAATGCAAAACATAAGTGACTCCAAACTTCAGACAGTGAAGCAAATTTTTTGCCTTCTTGAGACACTTCTCTTGGCCCTGCCCCTGCATCCTGACGGGAGCTCCAGGAAGAGCAGCTGCGCCAGTGCCAGGAAGGGAGGGCAGGTGAGGAGCTGAGGGACAGGGCCTGGAACCAGACTGGAATTTATGGAGCTGCCACAGCTTCCGGAATTTATGGAGGTTATGTGGCGAACCCCACATCTTGGTGCCTCGGTTTTTTCCTTCTGCAAAATGGGGAGATCATTTCTCCCTCATAGCTTGTTGTGAGGCATAAAGAGTTACTACGTACATGAAGCATTCAGAACATGCCGCTGTACAGGAAGCACACCCATGTTGGTAACTGTTGCTAGAGCGGGCACAGGAGTTTGTTTCTTAAGGAGGCAAGAACGAAACTGTATTTAAAAGAGCAAGGAACCCTATCAAACCACACAACTGCGCCTCAAGAATGAATCCAGAGGGCCAAGCTTAGAAAAGCACACTTTTGACCTTTATGAGGCCTACTTTATATTTCAGCCTTTTTGTTTGTTTGAAATTCTATACACTCAAACTTGTTACTGGAAATTTTTAATGACTTTTAATATAACTCCTCTGAAATATAGTAATATGTACTCTGTAGTCCTATGCCACCGGTTTCCTTAGCACCTGTCTTTACTTAGGGCCCGTCTTAATTTGTTTGTCCATCTGGTATTTCCCTGTTTTTATTTTTCCCCTAACCAGCACACAAATATACACCTTTGTTTAACTTATAAAGAAACATATACCTTAGTTTGTATAGGTGAGGAGCTTGTTACTAGATTCACACTGTAGGTTGTATAACCCCACTTTTCCTCTGTCTCATATCCATGCTTGCTATGTTGGAATTTAAACTCTTTGGACTAACACTGAAATGAAGAACAAACTCTTTAAATGTATTCTTTGTGGAAGGATGACAACTCCAAATGGCTTCTAATATTTGCCCATGGCTTGAGCAAAAATTTCATAGCTAGTCATAAAAATACCTACAGACAGCTGTTGGGTAGAATTTTTCCTTTTTTACAGGCCTTATATCGAAAACACTCAATTTGATTAAAGAATAAAATTGGGAGACTATCAATTTTTCCCGCTTAAAATGTGAGTCGTGAATTCATATCTCAAGTTGCTTTCTTCTTGAGCAAATAAAGTAGGCAAGTAGTCCTAAACAGTAACAAGTTGTGTTTTTCAGCACCAATTATTACAACTAATTTACTAAGAAAAATCTATGAAAATCAAATTATAGCCTTTCCAGTAAATTCAGAGCTTTTTATTCCTGGTTTCTTTTAACATGGCAGTTTGGCTTCTGAGAATTGGTCCTAGCTATGTTTAACAGAGAGAATAGATGATCAGACAAGCCAGATAAAAATTCTTGGAATGTTGAATAAAATGCAAGATAAAGATGGGACAGAAAATGTTATCTTTCTTCCCTTTGTGTTATGCCTGGACATGAAACAAAAATTGGTCTCACCTGGGACTTAAAGTCATAAAAGTTCAAATGTAAAAGGTATAAAGTACTGAGGCATTTTTTTTTTTTTAACTGTAACTTATTAGAAGAGCATCATTAGTTTAGGGTCATACTTTTATCACTTTTAACTGTTGTGCTCCAGATAAAATCCTCACTTGCTTCTCCCTCGTCCTGGCCCTGTCAGTGTGCCTTAGAGAGGAAATGCAGGGGGTTCAGCCTGGAAAATCCGTGAAGACACACAAGGGGATGAAAAATTAACATTGTGTATGTTGTCGTCTCCTTTCTCTATGAGGCAAGAGTTAAGCTCATCAGCTAAGAGTGAGGAGGACAGGCCTTGGGAGAGCAGAGAAGACAGCGTGGCTGGTGACGAGACTGGGAGAGGGAGAAGGTCCAGGACAGGAGGACAGTCACACCGCATGGAGTGCCCTGCCACAGCTAGATGTTGCCATTCGTAGTGATGCTGCCTGCCTGGCATGTCACGCTCCCCCAGCAGCCTGGCAGGTGCTGTAGGAGAGAGAAGATGGGAGTCACCCCAGCTCTGGGGTTGGGATAGAAAGACAGGAACTACGGAGAGGAGGGCAAAGGTGCCAGAGGATTCCTCATCTGAGTCAGGGAGAAGAAAGGTCAGGAGCAGGTGGGCAGAGGACTCTAGTTGAATGTTTAGAGGTTGCGATTGAAGAGTGACTGTACTGCAAAGCATGTATACTAGAATTTAGAATTTCACAGGAAATGTAGTTCTAAGTAAGCCGCATAAACAACTTTTTTGCTGCTAAGTTGTGTGTGGGAGGTAATGTGAACACAGTGGTGTATACATCATAAAAATAAGCGTCCTTTAAAATGCTGAGTGCTGTGTGTCTACTAAATAAGATGTAGAAATATAGTTTCTCTAAGATTAGATGTTGTTAATATATTACAACGATGGCCAGAAACAAGGGTCAAGAAACATATGGACGAACACAAAAATACATGCAATTTGAATTCAGACTCACTGGCTTTCTCTAGCTAACATCACTCAGCCTCCAGGCCTCAGATTCAGTGTTGCTTCTCCTCCGGGAAAATGCCTTCCCCGACCTCCGCCCCCACCTCCAATGGGGCCGGGTCCGTCTTCAGACCCTCTCGTGCCCCCAGCACAGCTGTCACTATGTGCTCCATCCACGTCTGTCTTCCCGCTCAGAGCTCCGTGACCAGGCCTTGTCTGTCCTGCCTTCTGCTGATCTTCCTCTACCCAGTTGTTACCTCGTCTTCATCTTCTGATGAACTAGCTTTTTAACGTAGTTCTTTTTTCTTTGACTCCTCCCTCTTCTCCTCTCAGAGTTTATTTCCTCCAGGCCTCTCTGTTCATCTCTCCACCATGTGCATAGCATCCGTCTTTTGTACGCTCAGAGTGACCTGCAATCTGCGGTCCCAGCGCCCTCCACTCTCATTACCTGCTGGACATCTCCACCTGTTGTGTCTCCAGCACCTCACACTCACTGCAAGTCTGACACAAACACGCTCTGCCCCGCCCCGAACTCAGGAAACCAGTTTTCCCTCCTTTATCAGCTTTGCTTGAAACCAGTTTTCACTCCTCCTCCTCCTCCCCAACTCCTCATCCCAGACCACTCCCCAGGGACCGCTGGGGTTTCATTTTTCCTGAGAGGGTCTCCTTTCTCCCTTCCTTCCGTCCCCACTTGTGCCACCCAGACTAGACCCTCCTCACCTCATGCTTCAACACGAGGCCCTGACAGGACTGGTGACCTGATCTCCAGCCATCCTGCATCCACCCTGTGTGCCACTGCCAGATTAGCCCCTTTTGTATAAAGCTTGACACGTGTTGACAGGGAGTTACCATTAAAAACAAAACACAAACTTCTGTGACTTCCTGTTGTCCCCACAGCAGTCACTGGCTCCTCTGCCTCACTTTCAAGGTTCCGCATGAGGGAGGCCCCAGCCTCCCTGCTTTCAAATTTATGCCCGTTTCTCAAATACTGGCCACACTGTGATTCCTTCCTTTCTTGCCTGAAACAGACTGTTCCTCTTTCTGCAATCACCCAAATCCTTTCATCCTCAGGCCCTCCCAACCCACTGTCACTGATCTCTACTCCTAGGGACACTCCTAGTGTGCCTGGAGCTGGAATTGCCCAAATTAGCGCTGACACGCTGTCTGTACCTCACTGTGATGTGCGACTATCTATGGGAACTGTGTTTTCATGGGGCACCATGAGTCTTGTGTCAACTGGATTGTAGGTGCTTTCAGAGTGGAAACCACAAAATGCTACTTCATGATTCCCACCATGCCCGGTACAAGTATTTCCACAGCAAATACTTACGTACTTGTCGAATTAATTGAAACATCAGACACTAAGGTTGTTTAACTTGAACTTAAAGTGCAGGACTCACCATCTTTATCAGCACTTCAAAGTTTACAGCAGGTTTTGCATAGTATTTTAGGATCACAAAAGTAGACTCAACAAAGACATGAGTTGACAGCACAAGTGAAGTAGAAAAATAATTGAGGGTTGTTAGGGAAATTTGTGGCCTTTAGGTGTATTAGCTTGTTTTTTCCAGAAAAGTTTAAAGAGCTCCCTTGGGAAAATATATTGTTGAGTAACTGAAGGGCACAGCTCCCAAACTGAAAAGTATTTGGGGTGGGGTTTGCCACCTTCTTTTCTGATGTTCCTACTTCTATTTTTTATTCTTCTACTTCTGTCTGTTAGGAAAGAGAATACTAAAGATATCTGCTCCTTCTTCTTAATTCCAATAGGAGCAAACCCAAGTTATGATCTAAATATTTGCATATTTTCCTTTAAGAAGTTCTTTGTCCTGTTTTCTCCTGTAGTCTTTCCTGTTTCCAATTTTCATCAGGTTCTGAGTCATCTGTAATTTTTATATCCCCTCAATAACAATACATTGATATTTGCCCCCAATTTGCAAATGAAGTCACCCCATCAGAGTGCAGTGAGGGGTGCCTGAGGTTACACAATAACTCTGGCCCCAAACAGGGATAGCCCTGGAGTTTCCAGGCTGTTGACTGGTCACTGAACTGAGCTTCGAGCACACAAAGGAAGCTGCACCCACAGCATTCTGTTGTGGACAGTTGCTGAGCTTTGCATGCATTGTGGGGACCTCTTTGTTTCCTCTAAGGCCCAGCATTTTCTTTCTCCAGGTCAGGCAGGCCTGTGGGCTTCTTCCCAGTCCCCTCTCCTGTACTTTAAACATGAAAGATGGAAGATGTGCATTAGAGAAGCTATACTACTGTGCAAACCAGAAAAGTGGGTGTCAGTTGCGTGTGCTATAGCCATCAGCAAGGCCAGAGTTGGGGGCAACATTGTTTAGTTTTAATTACTGAATTTAGATCAGCGAGGAGCTTTTGCTTTTAGTTGTGAAAGACTACCTAGTGGCTATGTTCAATTTTGAGGAGTTTGGGTGGTTTTTTTATTATAAAAGAGAAGCAACCTGGGTACTATAAAAAAGTAGTTTACCTTTCGTAAACCTTCCCCTCATCAGATCAGTACTATCCATGCAGTTTAGTTATGATTGATGTAAATAGAGGGTAAACAAATCAAGCTCCTGGGGGTGGAAAAATCTTGTTTCAGAACTTCACATGCTGTACTGAACTTCAAGAAGTAGTGTGGGTTGTTGGCTTCATGACAGGTTCTTTGTCATTTTTCAGAAAGCTTTTGACTCTGAGGTCAGTTGGGAACAATTGAAGAAGAATAGGATAGATTTACCTTACGGTAGTGGGTGATAAAATGAATGTTATGTGCTGGCTGCTAGGTTGTAGTAGCAGAGTTAGCGGCAGCAACACACCAACTGGATGAGGAACAGACCCCATTCATTCGAGGGATACTAGGGCCTCTGTGAGTCAAGTGTACATGTGGGTGCTGAGGAGTTAGGCTTGTGGGCTAATTGTCTAACAAGAAGTTCATAATTGTAGACAACTGTGACTGTGTGCCAAACAAGCTGGCATTGGAACATACTTAGTACTCATACTTTGCGTTAAGCCTCCAGTTCCTTCCACATGTCTGGTGCAGGCAGCAGAAGGGGATTTTGGCTTTCAGAGATGGTCTGTTATCTAAGTGAGCACTCTTAAGACTGAGAGGAAGTACCTCCCCCCACCCACCTTCAGGCGAAAGTGATTTTGCAAAGTTTAGGCAGATGCCAGCTTCAGAAACTGATGTTTCTGGCTGTCTTTCTCACCCTACTTAGAGCATTCTGTCCATGACCTGCCAAACTAATGGGGGAAATGACTGATAATTGATCTTTCCCTTACGGCAGTATTTCTCACTTTTTTTGATGGTAAAGCACAGTAAAAATGCATTTTATATTACAACCCTGAAGGTGCTACTTTCAGAACACTCTGCTTTAGAAAGATCACTCTGACTGGAGAGTAGAGGAGAGATAGGCCAGGGGTCATTTAGTCTGCCATCCTGGTCTGGGTCAGAAGTGATGATGACATCAAGGGGTGAAGAGAGATTTAGAAAAAGCAATTCTCAGGATTAAATAACTGGATATAGAATGGAGGAAAAGGAAGACTTTCAGATTTCTGGCAAAGGTGCATGAAGTGCAGGTGGACACAGATAAGAAGAAAATGGAAACAGGTTTTAGGGGAGAAGACAGTAAAATGGGTTAGAAATGGCAGTTGAGTACCCCGTGTGTCAGATAATTATCAACTTCTATCTCTGTATCTATGTATATGCCCATTTAATTTGCATAAAGACTTTGCGTTAAGGGGTGTTATTCCAGTTTTTCAGATTTCTGGGTTAGGTGCATGATACAGTGCGACAAATACAGTGGGTGGCTGCGTCCACACTGGGCTCACATGTCCAGAGTGCCAAGACAGCAGTTTTGGCTACAATCCTACAGCCTCCCAGTTTTGAACATATTAAATTTGAGGGGCCTATTGAGTTTGCAAATGAAAAAGTACAGGAAGAACATGATTGTGTAGGTTTGGGGCTCACAAAGTCATTGTTGTTAAAGAGAGTTTGGATTATGCTTTTGAGAAGCATAACTCAACTTCTTGATTATGAATCTTGATTTAAAAAAATCTTACTGTAATGCCTACCTTGCCTGGGGCAAGCTTTAATGGATTTTTACTATTAATGAACTTTCTTTTCGCATTCATCTATTTCGCCTTGAATTATAGAGCTACTTTCATCCTGACTGTATTTCAAATCGATATATCTGTAGATATTCCCATTTGAGAGATTTGAACTTTAAGTATATGATAGCCATTTTGGAAGGCTTGTTTGTTTGTTTGTTTAAGATTGAGAAGAGAAAAGGGTCTCTATATTCTGAATGGGAAGACAGTGGAGAGCGTTTCTTTCCCTTCCCCTCTACTCCCCTAAAATAAACAGCTAAATGCCTCTGCTAGATACTAGCTGCCTCATCACCTTTTGTCCAGATCAGTCCTGTTACATAATATCTTAAGGAGTTAAGCGTAGTTTGTTTCTTTTTAGTAACTCATTAATCTACTCATTTCTCATCTTTTCTCATCTTAACTCTTAACAGGTCGCACTTAACTTTCACAAAAGGATGTACGTGGAATAGCTGCCTGAGGCCAGTCACCAAACGTAATGAAGGATGCCAATGTGGAAACATTTTGATGTGCCAGTGTCTTCATTCTACAGTGTGTTCCATTTTTTTGCAATCTCAGCAAAAATGGTATTAAAATATTTTGTGAAATAAGAAGCTCCTTTTACATTTTGAATGACCAGCATATATTAAGATGGACATCTGTTCTACAGAATACAGAATTCTATGGTCTCAAAGAAGCAAATGCCCATTTAACACTGATCCTAAATAAAATTGGACGTCAGAATGTTTGTTAGTGGCAGAAGAGTAAAAAAATGTCAGTTTGTTCAGTTATTTGCCACCTGTTTTATACTAAGCCTCATGTTTTTTTGGGGACCACTTGATAATCACGTTGTGAGCCACATGAAGTCCTACTCTTACAGATACTTTATAAATAGCTATGACTTTGTGAATGAGAGCCTATCCCTTAAGCACAGTGAAGATGGGGCTACTCACTACCAATACCTGATTAACCATGAGAAGAAGTGTCAGGAACAAGATGTCCTCCTTTTACTGTTTGTAAAGACTGCGCCTGAAAACTATGATCGACGTTCTGCAATTAGGAGAACATGGGGCAATGAGAAGTATGTTCAGTCTCAACTTAATGCCAACATCAAAACTCTGTTTGCCTTAGGAACACCTTCTAATCCACTGACGAAAGAAGAAATGCAAAGGAAACTGGTTTGGGAAGACCAAATGTACCACGATATAATTCAACAAGATTTTGCCGATTCTTTCTATAATCTTACTCTTAAATTGCTTCTGCAGTTCAGTTGGGCAAATTCCTTTTGTCCACATGCCAAATTTCTTATGACTGCCGATGACGACATATTTATTCACATGCCAAATCTTATTGAATACCTTCAAAGCTTAGAACAAATTGGTGTTCAGGACTTTTGGATTGGTCGTGTTCATCGTGGTGCTCCTCCCATTAGAGACAAACGCAGCAAATACTATGTCTCCTATGAAATGTATCAGTGGCCGGCTTACCCTGACTATACTGCAGGAGCTGCCTATGTGGTCTCCAGTGATGTAGCGGCCAAAGTTTATGAGGCCTCACAGACACTCAACTCTAGTCTTTACATAGATGACGTGTTCATGGGCCTCTGTGCCAATAAGATGGGGATAGTACCACAATACCATGTATTTTTCTCTGGGGAAGGTAAGACTCCTTATCATCCCTGCATCTACGATAAAATGATAACATCTCATGGACATGTACAAGACCTTCAGGACCTTTGGAAGGATGCCACACACCCTAAAGTAAAAATGATTTCAAAAGGTTTTCTTGGCCAGATATACTGTAGGATAACTAAAATAGTTCTCCTTTGCAAATTGGCCTATGTGGACACATATCCTTGTAGGGCTGCCTTTGTCTAATAGTACTTGAATGTTGTATGTTTTCACTGTCACTGAGCCAAACCTGGATGAAAAACTCTTAAATGTTTGACTGTACCCTAAGTGAAATGAACATGAAAAAACAAAGAAATATTTTGAAAGCCCAGTCTCTCGGAATGTTTCTTTGATTCTAGAAGCTATTCAACATAACTTAACTACTTCATTGCCTAAATCCATTTCAAGGAATGTATATTTAGAAAAGGTTTATGAAAACCGAACTAAAGGGAAATTCAAGTTCTCAATGCCACGTGTATATTTGAGGTATAGAAAAGTAATTAAAGAGCCTTGGTATTAGAAAAACTGCTTTTGGAAAATACCAAGTGAATATAGAGTACAACATTTCAAAGAAACAAATATGTTGTTAGACTAGATATACAAGTTAATTTTTACTAAAAGAGCACTTGATGGAAATAGTGGGGGCAGGGAGGATTGGCATAGGAGAAAGTACATGAATCTGGCAAAATAAAGTCTCATGTTCTTCAGAGATATAGGAAAAAGTACAGCAGGTCCTTGAATAACCTGGTTTTGTTAAGCATCGTTTTGTTATAATGTTGAGAAGATGAGTAGGAACTTAACACTTGTTTATATCAGTTAGCCTGTTGTATAATTATTTCATTATACATTGTTTCACTGCAGTTCCAACAAGCTATCGAAAATGTTAAGTGAGGACTTACAGTACACATTCTCTTTATGAACAGCCAAATCACTTATTGTCACATCTGTGTACTTATTCTACCTAGCGTTGGAGTCATTTAAAACATTTATGTCTTTTTTCCCCAAAGTTTAATGTAAAATTTGAGAAGTCATTAGCTCTGCCCTAACTTGTGCTTTATGGGTTTTTTTTTTGTTTTTGTTTTTGTTTTTATTATTAGAAAATGACACAAAACATGGGCAGTTTGTTACCCATGGGGTCCTTCTGTAGGGAGAAATCATTGCTAATTCAAGACGCTGATTTTAATACAATGAAATTTTCAACTGGTTTTTAAATATTCAATATCGGTCTGTTTTTAAGATAGTTATTTGAATGTAGTTTGCTTAGAGGAATAGAATATTGGAGAAGACTTCAAAAGGAAAGATAGAACATTAAAAGCCTCTTTTCTCCATAATTTATAAAATAAAATTCTTAGTGTCTAAATTATTGTAATGATAATAAAATTAGCCCACCCCTCCCCAACAAGGCCTCATAAACCACAGTACTTTATTCCAAGTTCAGATTTTAAAATGAGAATATTAAACATCACACAAAAGCTATAGTGTCTGTAACAAAACCTATTTCATCAAAATAGCTATCAGAGGTATTGTCAACTTTTAAATATTTCAAAATTGAAAGCAGAATGAAAGATAAAAAGGTTGCCAGAATGAGGTTTAAAGCATTTTTAAAGTGGCATGTTCCTTGTAATCAAAGAGATGTGGGTGAGAGCTAATAGAGTAAGTTATATTTATTTTACAAAGCAGGACAGAAATATGGCCATGATGCAGACAACCTCCCCTGACTATAGAAAGTACTAGGTGATGTCTGTTATTAGTGGGATTATCTGAAGGCCAAAATAATGACTTCAGCGAGAGCAGATGAACTGATTATAGAACCTTTGTCTGCAGAGATGCCTGTTAGGAAAGACTAAGATGTCTCATTTAATTAGATGATGTTTGAAACATGCAAAACAAAAACATAACTAAAAAAGAATTTTTAGTAAACACAACTAGATGATGACATATATAATTTTTTGCAGCTAGCTTTTTAAAGTTTACAGAAATTTTTTGTTATTTTTTTTCTATTTTGAAAATTGAAGCTTGTTTACATTGATTGCTCAGATAATTTAGAATTTTTAACTAATGTCAAAACTACAGTGTCAACCATTCTAGTTTGTAGTTACTTTCAGAGTAGGTTCACGGTTTTTAGATCATTAAAGTTTAAATTTTCTGACCAGTTTTAAAAACTAGGGAACAAAATTGCATTTGACAAAGTGGATTTATTAGTTGATTCATTAATAACTGTTTGCCTTTTGGCCATACATACCCTGTGTATCTATACTTGTAAGTATTTAAATTTGCTATTGGTTGGAAACATCAGTGTCTCTCTGGCCATAAAAATGATCTTGTTTACAGCAGTACTTTCGTGAAAATTATTTGAGAAAGTGCTCTTCTCAACTATGTTCATCCTCTTGTTTTTAATTAGAATAGAATGGAACAGATTTAAAGGAAATATGAAGGCACTTCCTTTTTAAACAAGGAAATTGCTAGATGCTTCATCAGACTTAAAGTCCTGAGAAGAATATTTATAAATACAGTAAAAGGATTCCAACCTTTTAAAAAGGAAGGAAAAAACTTTTTGGTGCTCCAATGCAGGGCTTAAAAATCGTAAACAAAGGGAAAATAAACTATCAGCCTGGATGGTCACTTGAATAGAAGATGGTTGTACACAGTGTTATTGCTAAAAACTTTACCTCTTGGTTTGCATTCTTGTTTCCATATTATTAATTTTATACCAAAATGTTAGATATTTTTTATTATTTGAATTTTGCTCATATGGCAAAGTAATTAGTGGTTTTTAAAAAATAAATCTGTGATTTTCAATAAAAACTTGAAAATTGTCAGCATATGTGTATTTTCGCAAGGGTTTTTAAACTCCTGTGTGAACATCATTTGTTTATGTAATCAGTTTATTCTGTTTAATGTCAGAGAGGCCTGTAGCACACAATCTTAATTCTACCGCTGTTCCGACTTGCTGTGCCCAGGATAGAAGATGTGTTCTCTGCGTAACGGAGACACCTAAAATGCCTCTTTTGTTTGTTAAATGATTTATGCTGGAATGTCTCAGTGAGGGAATTCTCCGAATAGATTGTTCGGGAAGGGATGAAATAAGAACCTGTAACCATAGCACCTTAAGACACAATTTGAAAAGGTCATATTTTCTTTTGACTTGGTATCATTTGCTGTCTGAAAGTAGATTCAAATTTAGCCCTAGTCTCTTAATGTCAGGAATGTTCTTAGACTTGCTATGGAGTGTTTGGTGCTTCAGTATATTTGTTCATAGTATGTTCTCATCTGCTTTTCACCTGATTCATGCTCACACCTTCGAATACTATATGGTGTGATTCAATCAATATATATATTTTTTAAAACTTGGAAGCATCTGTTTTATTTGGTTGTAGTGGAACTTTTTACTTGCAAGGCATAGTTGGGGTGTTTGTAGTTGGGACCAAAAATGATTAACACTTGGAAGAATTAATTAACTTGACCTATTATTTGAGACTTCAATTGAACACTGGCCACAATGAAAATCAGAACAGAGAACTGATATGCAGTGTTGTTTGTTCTGCTGTAATAACGAGAGAAATGTTGGGTGTTTCCCTGACTTTGTTTCTATGCAATCACTGCGTGGTGCAGTGAGACAAGCCTCAATCACAGCTTTGTTTACGATAATCCTCTATTCCAGACCACTAAGGTTCCTTACTGCCTTCAGGAACAATCTAATCTCTTCTACCTGGTTTAGAAGACCTTCTGTCATCTTTTCCTTCCTCATTCTCTGTAGCTGCCACTCTTATCCATCACAAATCTCATTCATGACCATGCCTGTGTAAGTTTGTTTCCCTTGCCAGGAACACCATTTCTCCTGTACCTGTTGAAATCTTGAAAATGAAACTCTAACTGCTCTTCCATTAAGCATCTCCTGCCCTTCTCCCCAAATATATACTTAATCACATACAATATTGTGCTACCTACTAATTGTTCATGTGTTTTTTCCTAGCTAAAATATAAGTTCTGAAGGTAGGGACTGTGCACAGTCATAACACATAGTGCTTAAAAATCATTATTTTTTCAAATATGATAAAGTAATGTTATTTTGGCAAGCTATCCAAATATGAAGACGTTGATTATTCAGAACCCTAATGGACAGTATCTGACATAACATTTTACCTATTCTAATTAAAAAGTTTTTAATTTGACAAAGTCTGAATGCTTACTATATGCATGCATATGGTATCTATCAACTCTGGCCCCAATAAATTTGTATTAGTTATGCATAAAAACTCAAATATATAAAGTCAAAAGTATTTTTGACTTCATAAAAGTCAAAAATACTTTTACCTATTGCTTGTTGCTTTTATGAAGTTCATGAGCTTTGTTTTCAAGTACATAAATGAAGGTTCGTCTATAGAATAAATACCTGAAGTTCCGGTCAAGATGGTAGAGTAGATAAACACTGTACTTGCCTCCTCTCACAACCACATTGGAATTACAACTACAGAACAACCATCATTGAGGATCGCCTTAAATCTAGCTGAACGTAAGTCCTTTAACTAAGGACATACAGAAGAAGCTATGTTGAGACTGGTAGGAGGGGTGAGACACGGAATGGTCTGGTCCCATACCACGTGTGGTGGTTAAAAATCGGGAGGAACATCTCTGCTCTGGAAGTCTGAGAAGCAAAGAGTCCCAGCCCCATAGCAGGCTCCCAGCCCAGAGATCCAGTGCCAGGAAGAGAGGTCCCCATAACTCTGGCTGTGAAAACCAGTGGAAATTGGGGCTGAGTGAGATGGAGGGCTGCTGGAGACCCAGATTTTCTTCTTACAGGGCCCGCACATGGACTTTCTGCTGACGGACTCACTTGCTCTGAGTTCAGTGCTGGGGCAGCAGTGTGCAAGGTACCAGGGACATATGGGGGAGGAACTGAATTGTCTGGCTTCAGGGTGAGGGTTGGAGGGGCAGCTTTTACCCACGCAGAAGTACTAGCAGAATCCACTGTTCTTCTGTTGAGCCCTCCCTGAACCCAGCATGCAGACGCAGGCAGGTGACATATCTGAGTCTCCATCAACTTGGCTAATACCGTTCGCCTGCCCTGATGATTTCCTGAGACTCTGCTCCGCTCAACCTGCAGGCCTACCCAAGCTGCTTCCAGTGGCTTTTCTATAAAGCTTGTCTTGGCTCATGCTGCGGACTTTCCTAAAATCTCTCAAAGGTTCACAAACTTCAAACAAGCAGCATCTAGCCTCAGTGTGCCCTGTACCTGTTTTTGAGCAGCCTCAAACCTGGTACTAGTGGCAGCTGACCTCAGTTCATAGCTTAGCCTCTCCCAGGCACCTCTAAGCCCAGCACAAGTGGCAACCATCTGCAGAACACTTTGTAGCTCACAACAAGTGGCCCTGGGCACAGGCAGCAGCTGAACCTGGCCTGCAACAGAGGCCCCAGAACCAACATACCTGGTGGCCAGCTTTAGACCATCCAAGAGTACCACACAACCATCTCCATAACAGACACACCCAAAGGGAAGACTGGGCAGGCACCTAAACCCTGCTAAAGTGAATCTTGCTCCATAGGGTCAACCCCTGCACAACAGCTCCTCCACTGTAGTCATGGCTAGTCCCCACAACCAATCAGTCTGACATGCAAACAGTAACCAAGGCTCAACTACAACAAGAAGGCACACACAACCCACACAGTGGACAAACCTGCAGCACCTGGCTCAGGTGACCGGGAAGTCTGTGCCATTGGGACCCATAGAGCACCTACTACATAAGCACACTCTACTAAGTCCAGGAGACAAGCTCTACCTAATACATAGACACAAACACAGGGAGGCAGCCAAAATGAGACAAAGAAACATGTCCCGAAAGAACAGAACAAAGCTCCAGAAAAAGAACTAAACAAAATGGAGACATGTAATCTACTAGATAGAATTCAAAACCCTGGTTATAAGGATGATCAATGATCTTAGTAAAAACTTCAACAAAAAGATAGGAAACATAAAAATGAACCAGTCAGAAAGGAAGAATACAATCACTGAAATAAAGAATACATTAGAGGGAATCAAAAGTAGATTACATGAAGCAGAGGATCAATTCAGTGATTTAGAAGATAAGATGGCAGAAAACACCCAATCAGAAAAGCAAAACAAATTTAAAAAAATTAGAATAGTTTAAGGGGCCTCTGGGACAACAGTAAACTTAACAACATTCATATCATAGGTTTACCAGAAGGAGAAGAGAGAGAGCAAGGAAATGAAAACCTGTTTGAAGAAATAATGACTGAAAACTTCCCTAACCCGATGAAGGAAATAGACAAACAAGCCCAAACAAGATAAACTCAGAGAGGCTTACACCAGGACATATCATGCTAAAAGTTAAAGATAAAGAGAGAATCTTAAAAGCAGCAAAAGAAAAGCAGCTAATTACCTACAAGGGAGGTCCCATAAGACTTTCAGCTGATTTCTCAGCAAAAACTTTGCAGGCCAGAAGGGATTGATATGAAATATTCAAAGGGATGAAAGTAAAAACCTACAACCAAGATTACCCAGCAAAGCTATCATTTAGAATCGAAGGATAAATAAAGAGCTTCTCAGACAAAAAAAAAAAAAAATGAAAAGCTAAAGGAGTTCATCACCACCAAACCAGTATTACAAGAAATGTTAAAAGGACTTCTTTAAGAAGTAAAAAAGATAAAAAATATAAATAATAAAATGGCAATAACTACATATCTATCAACAATTACTTTAAATGTAAATGAATTAAATGCTCTAATCAAAAGACATAGGGTGGCTGAATAAATTTTAAAAACCCTTAAATATGCTGCCTACAAGAGACTTACTTAGGCACACAGTTTGAAAGTAAAGGGATGGAAAAAGACATTTCATAAAAATGGAAAGAAAAAAAAAAAGCTGGTGTAGCAATACTTATACCAGACAAAATAACATTTAAAACAAAGGCTATGACAAGTGACAAAGAATCACCAAGTAATCCCACTTCTGGGTATTTACCAGAAGAAACCCAAAACACTACTTTAAAGGGACATGGGCAGCCGTATATTCATTGCAGCATAATTTACAATAGTCAAGCTATGAAGGTAACCTAGGTGTCCATCAATGGATGAATGGATAAAGAAGAGGTGGTACATATATGCAATGGTATACTCAGCCATAGAAAAGAATGAAATCTTGCCACCTGCAACAATGTGGGTAAACCTAGAGGGTATTGTACTGAATAGAATAAGTCTAACAGAGATAGAAAAATGTCATAAGATTTCACTTATATGTGGAATCTAAAGAATAGCATAAGTGAATAAACAAAACAAAAACAAGCTCATAGATACAAAGAGCATTTTGATGGTTGCTGGACAGCGGGGCGGGGGGGGGGAGCGGTGCTGGAGGATGAGTGAAGTGAGGAGGGGATTAAGAGGTACAAATTGGTAGTTACAAAATAGTCATAGGGATACAGAATATAAGAGTACAGCATGTGGAATATAGTCAGTAATACTGTAATAACTACATGTAATATCAGATAGGTTCTTGATTTATAGGGGTGATTGCTTCGTAAGTTATCTAAATGTCAGATCACTAGGCTGAACACCTGAAATTAATATAATATTGTATGTCAACTATAATCGAAAAATAAAAATATTTAAAAAAGAATAACCATGTGATTTTATTTGTGAAAGATAAGTGATGAGATTTAAAATGAAGGATACTCTACTCTTCCCCCCACCACTCCTCAAAGGGTTAAAATGATTTTATATAGGGATCTGCGATCTTACCTGATGGGGGAAAGATTTTCAGGACTGTCAATCTTCTCCAGCTCAGGGTTATCCCCATTATGACTGCTTTCAAGTATTTCTTCATTCTGAAGTGAAAGAAATTTTGGTGAGATAGCCTATTTTATTTGTGGGGGAGTTCTAAATCTCTATTTTTCTTTCCCCCAATTTCATTGTTTGGTATTATTTTAATTCTCTAGATAAGCATCATTTCCAATTTCTCATCTTTTTCGTTCTTGGGTTTTCCCCAACTACGCTGTGGATCTGTTACAGTTGGCCCTTCAGGCTTCCTTTAGAAACATCAAAAATTCATTCTCAAAAGCAGGTATCCTATTTCCTTAATGATGGGCTATTAACATTGTTCTCCTTCTCCTCCCCCTCCCCCAATGATTCACAAAAAAGATTCAGAGTTTGAGCTAAAAGATAAAGAGATCATTTAACAAAATATCAAAATATCTCTCTCGCGCGCTCTCTCTCTCTCTCTCTCTCTCTCTCTCTCGCTCTCTCGCTCTCTCTCATAAGAAATCAAGGTCTGGAGAAGTTGCAACCTGCCAGAGGCCAGAAAGAGAGCTAGAGGCAGAGATGAGATAAACCACCCAGGTTCCACTTTCATGGGCTGGTAATCATATGTCTGTTCTATCACACCACCTCCTGAAGCAGTTGGTTCCTTAGGAAGTGCAAAGTGCCATCAGTGCAGGCTCCAAGCGAGCTGATGGTTGGAAGCCCTGTTCCACAACATGCCAGCTCTGAGTCCTTGGTCAAACTCACTGAAACTCTGCCTTGATTTTCTCCCCTGAACATGGACCCCATGGCACTATCTACTGCAGTAAGGCTATGGCTCTTTTTCAGCCCAAGACTACGCATTTAATTCTCAAGAAGAGGCAAGACTCCTACTCAGTTTGCTTTCAAGAAAATATTGTTTTAACAAGGAAGTAAATTTGATAGCAACGCAAGGAGAGTATCAAAATGTATTAATGATAACCAACAAGTAGATAATTAGCTGGCCTACAAGGTTCTGTTTAAATGAGTTATTTTACATTTTCACAAAAGGGAGGATAGATTTAGGCCATCTTGCAAAAGTATTGTTAAGGAAAATTTAATGAGTAAACATTAAGATTCCTTGTAAATTAGAGCTGAAAGTTGAAAGATGAGCTTTCCCCAGACTGAGGAACAGATAGGAAGTCTTGCAAAATAGGTAAGAGTGACATGCTTCTCAGTCCACTGATAGTTTAAGAAGAGAATTTGCTCCCTGGATTGACAAAAAGCAGTCAAGATAAGTTTTCTTTATTACCCACAATATTGACCACAGAGATAGCAATTCGAAAATGTGCAGTGAATGAAAGAAAATCATGGGTCTTCAATCTTTTTTGTAAATATCTTCCCAAATCTGGTGTCATATACAGAAAGCAAGCTAAATTTATATATATTTTTCTTTTACAATAGAGTATCATTTCAATAAGAATCTAAATTTTTTGCTTCCTCTATTACTTATATTTTACCAGAGGCTAGAATATATTTTTAATTTCAGTTAATATACAGAAGTAAAAACCAATTCCTGGATTCAAACCAATCTAGTTATTTTCACCACACCACCAAAGCTGTTTCTTCACATTTTCTAGATAATGTTGAACTAATTACTATGGCAATTAATGTTATGTTACATTCCTTTCTAGTTCTTCCTCTGTGATGTTATCACGCCTGAAACACCTGTTGGACTTTGAGCCTTCGCCTTATTTATCTTTGGATCTCTAACATATAATACAGGGCCTTCATATAGAGTAATCACTGTTAGAAACAAAACTTCTCACTGTGAAACTTGCTACTGCTTGTAAAATGAATTGTGTGCTTTCCAACTCTGTTGATCTATTGTTAGTGTGGTGGATTGTATAGTCTCTTATTTCATGACAACCTAGGAATGGAAAAATAACAATAGTTATTTTTTAGGTATAAGTATAGACTTGTCATCTTTTATACCAAGTGATGGCATTTCTCTAACTTACAGACTTTATCCTTCATAAGATGCCCTCAGGGGTTTTCTGCATGGACTTGGTCGTATCGACCCATGTTGCTGTGATCGCATGTCAGACAGCTGGTGTCAGGTTAGCAGGAGAGTCCCCTGCCAACCAAGTTTGATGGAATACAACACTGGTACCATTGAAATGTGTTGGGAAAGATCTACAGTAGATCTGAGGATTGCTTTAATAAAAACCTGCAGTGAGGTTGTTAACCACAAGCATACCTCGGAGATATTGTAGGTTTGGTTCCAGACCACTGCAATAAAGTGAGTATCAAAATAGAGCAAGTCATAATCTTTTTGCTGGTGGAAGGGCTTGCCTTCAATTTGTAAAAGATGGAACATCTGTGACGCGCAATAAAATGAGGTATGCCTGTATACTATATAACAATGTTTTACTAAGGCTTAGACAGACCAGTTGTGTTCAAGTGCAGTGGTTTTCAAATTCTGACCATACCCGCAAGAAAAACATTTACATCATAACACACACACGTTGTGATTTGTAATAAGAAATATATACTTGGTCTTTGTCCCGTTATGGCACAGAGCTCCTAAAACCATTGGGATTTCCTAAGTGATGAGAGTGATAAAGACGTCTTCATATTCATAAGAAATCTCTTTTGACCACAGCTGAGTTTATGTTAATTAGCAACTTTTTGAAAGGACCTAAAGATGCAGGCTGGTTACCAGGGGAACAAACCATGTAATTAGAGGGTTGGAACTTTCAGGTTCCTTTACTCCACCCCCACTCCCTCGCAGGGCAGGGAGAGAGGCTGGAGATTGAGTTCGATGACCAGTGGCTAATGGTTTAATCAATATGCTTATGTAATGAAGCTTTCATAAAAAATAAAAAGAGTTTCTTGGTTGGCAAACATGTGGAGATTAGGGGAGAGTTGCTTGCTCAGAGAGCATGGAAATTCTACGCTCCTTCCCACATACCTTGCCTTATGCATTTCTTCCACCTAGCCGTTCCTGAATTACATCCTTTTATAATAAGTGGTAATCTTGTAAGTAATATGTTTCTCTGAGTTCTATGAGCTGCTCTAGCAAATTAATCTAACCGAAGGAGGAGGGGATCCTGGGAACTTCTGATCTATAGCTGATTGATCAGAAGCACCACTGACAATCTGGACTTATGATTGATGTCTGAGGGGTTGGGGGATAGCTTTATAGGACTGAGCTCTTAACCTGTAGGATCTAATGCCATCTCCAGGTAGATAGTGTCAGAATTGAGTTAATTGCTTCATAGTGATACGGGCGGGGGTGGTGGTGGAAACACACACACACTCAGGACAGACAAACTGTCAACCTAAAATTCTGGGAGGCAATAATTGAACAAAAAGCTTTTATTAGGGATCAAAGGAATTGCAATTCATCAAGTACAAATTTAGGCAGAAGCCCAAATAATGTCTTCCACTCAATGCGGGAGAGGGGCTCAGAGTTTTTATAGGAAAAAGGGAGGAAGATGAAGTGAGTTGTATTAAAGAAAAGTTCATTGGCTCTAGATGAAGTAAGATTAGGTTTGTACTTCATAGACTGGCTTGAGATTCAATCATCAGGCAAAAAGGCTAGATTTGTACTTTATTGATTGGTTAGCGACTTCATCACTGGCCAAATCCAATTTCATCCATTCTTACAAACAGGCTATTCTTATTCTTACTGACTTCTTGAATGTTGGCACTTTGGTCCAGTTTAAAAGAAACAGAAAACAAGACATGCAGGGCAGTTCCTCTGAAATGGCTCCTCTGGCTCTATTTTAATATGGGCCCACTCATGTCATCTTTCACATACATAAAACTGATACAATACACTCTATTTTCTTATTTTTCAGTTACAATTGACATTCAATATTATTTTATATTAGTTTGGGGCATACAGTATAGTGGTGAGATACATTCTATTTTTTAATTATACTATCCCATTGCATTCTTTTCTTTTTACTTATTTATTTTTAAATGCCGATGAACCCACCAACCTGAGTTCACTATCACCATTGTGACCTGTACTTTAAAAGCCTCTTAGAGAGTGAAAAGAACACAAACTTGGATATGAGAGTCAGACCCAGGTGGGAATCTTTGGATTCCTTTTTATTTAAAAGTGGCCTTGGCAAGACTTCTCTATCTATAAAATAAGACTGATAACAACTACATCAAAGGATTTTTGTGGAGATGAGAGATTACAATTAAAATACTTAGAACAATGAAAAGACACAATAATGGCATTTATAGTTGCCTCTTTAATATCTGCTTTGTGGGGATTAAAAAGGGTATAATGTATGCTGACCTGGCATGCTGATCTTCAGTAATTGCTGGGAATTCTTACCCACTCACATATAACAGAGACCCCACATTTCTCACTAGCTGGGCATCCATTTTCTTCTGTTTAAAATGAGGAAGATGTTTGATTTGGCTATGAAACATTACTTTGCTTATATTATAAAATACCAATATAGGTGCTATTGCTTCTGATTTTGAGATGAAAGCTAAATTGCAGCCATGATACTTTTGGGAAAGATTTAAATTAAGCTTCCTGAAAGCTCTAGGAGGAAGAGAGCATATTCAAATAAATGCTTTTTTTTTTTCTTTCAAATATTAGTCCTTTTATTCAAATAATGGACAAAGAAAACTGACCACAGACCAACCTACCAATTGCTGCTATATTTCTTTGTTAGGGATTCCTTACGAGCCTCATGGAATTATAAAGTGATGCTCTTTTAAAGTAGGGCAACATGTTTCTTGCGAACTCATATCCTGTTTCTCTTTAGAAACCCTGACTTGGAGCCGCCCCATGGGATTCCCAAAGGGTTAAAAGGGAACCTACCCGTAAACTACCCTACTGGGAGGCTGATAGTTGGAAAAGCCCCATCCCTTCTATGTTCATTTTATTCTGAAGGAAAAGGGTGGCAGTGAAGAGAGGCAGTTGCTCTGGGCCCGACATCACTCACTGTACCTCCATCTCCACGCCAGCCTCTCTCTCATTTCAAAGTGACACCAACCCACATACAGGTTCTCTAGGAGTACCTTTCATATGACTGCCTATGTTTTCTCAACAAACATATAATCTAATTGTTTTGTT